CCGTTTACTCGGCCCAATGCCCCGAAGGCTTTTGGTGACACGGCCAGCAGTGCCCACCTCCCCACGGGAGAACACACACATGTGGCCCCTCAGGGCACAGGTTGCTACACTGTCCGATCGGCGGTCAGCAGGGCCCGGGCAGAGGCCTGCGGGTACCGCTGAGAGGTGTGGCCGTCATCAGGGCTGAGTGGGCCCAGCCCTGGTCACCGTGTTTGTGAAGTGCCTCGAGAGGCCTGTGGACACCAGCCAGGCGTCGCCCACGTCTGTCCCTGGCGTCCCGCGGAGCCTCATCCCGTGTGTCCTGGCCTCCCGGCCCATCCTGAGCCCAAGCTGGAAACCCCCGTCTCCTCCTCACTGCAATGGATGGCGGCCAAGGGCCTGGGAAATAAAGGACGCTGTATTCTAACCTGAAAAGAAAAGAAAAGAAAAGAAAAGGGAAAAAAAGTAGAAAAGCAAAGGAACCAGAATACAAAACAATTTTGAAAAAGAATAAAATCGAAGGAATTACATTAATATATATATATAATAAAATGGCGAAATATACATATCTATCAACAATTATTTGAAATTCAAATAGATGAAATGCTCCAATTGTAAGACAAACAGTGATTGAATGGATAACAAATAAGACCCTTACATATGATATCTACATATGCTGTGTCAGATCAAGAGATATAGACTGACAGTCAAGGCATGGAAGAAGATATTTCATGAAATTGGAAATGGAAAAAAAAAAGCTGGCATAGTAATACTTATATCAGACAAAATAGACTTTTTAAGGCAAAAAATGACCCAGCCATTCCACTGTTGGGTATGTAACCAAAGAAACACCAAACACCAAATCCAATAGATATGTGCATTGGAATATTATTTACAACTAGAGGCCCAGCACATGAAATTCATGCACAGTGTGTGGGAAGGGGGGGAGGTCTTCTCAACCCAGCCTGCAGCCTCTTCAATCTGGGACCCCTCGAGGGATGTCCAACTAAGATCGGGCCTAAATGGGCAATTGGACGTCTCTCTCACAATCCAGGACTGTTGGCTCCCAACTGCTTGCCTACCTGCCTTCCTAATTGCCCCTAACCACTTCTGCCCACCAGCCTGATTGATGTCTAACTGCTCCCCTGCCAGCCTGTTTGCCCCCAACTTCCCTCCTCTGCTGGCCTGGTCATCCCTAACTGCCCTCCCCTGCAGGGTTGATCGCCTCCAACTGCCCTCCTTGCAGGCCTGGTGGCTCCCATCTGCCCTCTCCTGCTGGCCATCTTGCGGTGGCCATCTTGTGTCCACATGGGGGAAGGATCTTTGACCACATGGGGGCAGCCATCTTGTGTATTGGAGTGATGATGAATCTACATATTACTCTTTTATTAGATAGGATAGAGGCCTGGTGAATGGGTGGGGACCAGCTAGTTTGCCCTAAAGTGTGTCTTGGATCAGGATTGGGGTTCCCTTGGGGTGTGGGGTGGCATGGGTGAGGGGCCTATGGTGGTTTGCAGGTTGGCCATGCCTACTGTCGACCCAAGTGGAGGCCCTGGTATCTGGGATTTATTTACCTTCTACAATTGAAACTTTTTAGCCTGGAGCAGAGCCAAGCCTTCTGCTCGCTCAGTGGCAGCAGCCATTCTGTTGGGATTTATCTTCTATAATTGAAACTTTATAGCCTTGATTGGAGGCCTGGGCCAGCCAGGGTATGGGGAAAGCTTGGCTTCCTCCATCCCTGGGGAAACCTAAGCCTCCCTCCTGCTCTTTCTGTGGCCACAGCCATCGTGGTTGGGTTAATTTACATACTCCTGATTGGCAGATGGGTGTGGCTTGTGGGTATAGAAGAGTGATGGTTAATTTGCATATTACTCTTTTATTAGATAGGATAGCCAAGATGTGGAAGCACTCTAAATGTTCATCAATAGGTGAATGGATAAGGAAGTAGTGGTGCATATATACAATCGAATATGACTCAACCATTAAAAAAAATGAAATCTTGCCATCTGCAAAACCAGGGATGGACCTAGAGGGTATTGTGTTGAATAAAATAAGTTAGGTAGGGAAAGACATGCCATATGATTTCACTTCTAGGTGAATTCTAAAAAGCCCCAAAATAAACCAACAAGCAGAACAGAAACTGACTCATACAGAGAACATTTTGACAATTACTAGTGGAGAAGAGGCCTGGGGGGGGGGGGGGAATGGTGAAAAATGTGAGTGGATTAATAAGTACAAATTGATAGTTACAAAATAATCATAGGAATGCACAGTATAGCTAAGGGATATAGTCAATAATTTGACACTATGTATGGTGTCAGATAGGTATTAGATTTTTGGGGTGATAATTTTGTAAGTTATGTCTAATCAGTCAGTTGTACACCTGAAACTAATATGATATTGTACATAAACTGTAATCCTATATAATAGAGATAATATGTAAATTGACCATCACTCCGGTATATGGTATATGGCCATAACCATACACATACGGTATATGGCCATCCCCATGTGGACACAAGATGCCTGTCAGGGGAAGGCAGTTAAGGGCGAGAAGGCCTGCAGGGGAGGGCAGTTGAGGCGGGAAGTGGGGATAGGACTGCAGGGAGAGCAGTTAGGGGTGACCAGGCCTGCAGGGGCGAACAGTTGGGGGCGAGCAGGCCTGCAGGGGAGGATAGATAAAGGTGACCAGGCCTGCAGGGGAGAGCACTTGGGGGTGACCAGGGCAGCAGGGGAGGGATGTTAGGGGTGACCAGGCTGGCAAGAGAGGGCAATTAGGGGTGACTGGGCCAGCAGGGGATGGCAGTTGGGGATGACCAGGCCTACCATGGAGGACAGTTAGGGGCAACCAGGCTGGCAGGGGAGGGCAGTTAGGGGTGACCAGGCTGGCAAAGGTGGGCAGTTAGGGGCAATTGGGCCAGCAGGGGAGCAGTTAGATGTCAGCAGTGGTATGCAGATTATTTTGAGGTAAAGGCAATTTTAGCTTCAGGCTCAAGAGAAAATTTTGCCCTCTTCCCCCAAGCACCTCGAAGAATTTGAATTAGAGGCCTTGCTCATGAGAGATTATCAGAGATAACGTCTATTGACCTATCCACTATAACAGAAATAACTTATTTTGAGCTCTCTAGTATAGGTCAGGGCAAACTACTAATTACTGAATGTCTCCTTTTATCATCCTGCAATAATCTTTTGAAGTCCCCAAAGCACTTTATTTCATCCCTAGCTCAGGATGTCTTATATACCTCAAGCCTCCTTCCTATCTCTGACTCTGTCAAGTATGCATAGTCCCTGTCTCTCATTGTATGTGGTGTTCCCATGCACATAATATTAAATTTGATTTTCTCTTGTCAATCTGCTTCCTGTTAATTTGATTTGGCCAGCCAGAAGAACTAGAGGAAAGAAAGGGGCATTTCCCCCACTTCCCCACCCCTGTAAAACAGCAGTGGTCTCCCAACAGCTGTTCTCATTTTCCCTTTAATCATTCTGCCCCATCCTCACCCACCCTCCAGCCTCCTGGGCGGCGGTGGGGCAGAGAGAATCCATTTAGTCATTCTTTTTTAAAAAAGTTTTTTATTGATTCCAGAGAGGAAGGGAGAGAGAGAGAGAAACATCAATGATGAAAAAGAATCATCCCTGGACTGCCTCCCGCAGGCCCCCTACTGGGGATGGAATTTAACTGGGGATTGAGCGGCAACTACCCCCACCTGAAACAGAGTTCACATTATAGTTAATAACACAAATCTTATCCAATTCCATTAATTCTAATTCAACTTTTGAGGCTCACAGGATTCCACATCTTTGAGAAATCCATTCCTATACCTAATATTCCCCTAAGTGACCCACCCTGCTATGACATGACTATTCCCCTTCTTTCATTTTACCACTTAGAATAGCTTTGGTTTAAGTTTGTGGAGCGCATTAACAGTTTTGAATCCTAAGGCTTAGTTTAGATTTTGGGTGTAAGACGTCCTGATTTTTAACAATTTGCCCCGAGTTTTGGGAAGAATCTTTTAAATCTTTTGGACTTTTTAAAAAAGCTGTGGGACGCGGGACAAACTGTTAAAAATCGGGACTGTCCCGCCAAAAGCGGGATGCCTGATCACGTCGGTGTAAGAACACTCACGTTCATTTACTTATCTCTTCTTCTACCTGATCTGCCAGGGACAAAGACGGGGAGGGAGAGCCTAAGCGACTAGGTTGGAAATAAAGCGGCACTGAGACTTCAGCCCACCTTCTTCCTTTCAGTGCCTTCCGCAGGAACAAGTTTTTTTGTTTGTTTGTTTGTTTAAAGCTGGGAAGCTAACTGGAAAGGAAACCTTCGCCTGCGGCGTGCATTCTCCACCCCCTCTTCCCCCTCCGCACCGGAACCAAAAGCCTTGGGTCTGTCTAGCCTCTGCCGGGCACAACGACTTCCGGCGAGTTCTTCAGGGTTCCCAGCGCCAAGATCCTGGGAGTGACCCGCTGCCATCCGGGAACTTTCACAGAACAGCAAATGACTTCACGGGGCACGAAAGGCTTATCTGTCTCCAGTGACCATGAGAGTGTGGTGGACGTGACAATGGAGCGCGAATGTGGCTTGTTATTAACAAGCATTTAAGCGCCCCCAAACGCCACACGTTCCCGAGCGATGACAGTATATTACCAAAGCCCCCTTTTAAGCTACGAACCCAGAGGCCTCTGTCAGAGTGCAGGCGCGTGGCCTAAGAGGGCCAGCCGAGGCTTCCGTACAGCCAAGGCTTCGAGGGGCGGGGAATAGGAGTGCTGGTCACCGGAAGCGGGCTGGGCCGGGAGACTCGGTCCTCCGAGGTCCCGGCGAGCCCCGCGCCTGCTTTCTGCCTCCCTCCCCTCCTATGCTCCCTTCCGGTCCTCTCCCTCCGCTGCACGCTGGCAGCGCGGCTGCTCGTTGGCTACTTAGAGCGGAAGCTGGGTGCGTGTCCCTCCAGAAGTTTCCCCCTTGGGCGGCGGCGGAGCTGGTAACCTCCGTAGTAGCAGCTGCAGCAGCACAACATTGACTCGCAGAGATGGCGGCGGCTGCAGCTGGACCTGCAACAACCCAAAGGTACGTGTTTTTTCTTCTTTTTTTGAAGTTTATTTTTCTCTCCTGCTCCCCTTTCCTTGGTCAGTGCGCCCTGCTGAAGTCGTTGCTTTCTTGGCAGGTTTTGCCCGAGCTTCTCGGATGCTCTGATTGACGAGGACCCCCAGGCGGCTTTAGAGGTGAGAGAACCCGGCTCAGCCTCCTCTACTCTCCCGTGAGGAAGGCGGCGACCCCCCCTCCCCCCTTCCAGCACACGTCTTCCTTCCTGGGATTGTGTGGGCTGTTTCAGCCCTCGTGTAGACAAAGTCAGCCTCCCCTTTCTCTGTTCTTTAGTGACTCCGTTAACCCAGACCCCTGTTCTTGCCCCCTCCCGTTCCCAGACCGTCTCTTCACCCTCGCAGGTCTTTTTTAAGAAAAACGTTGTCTATTTCTGTGTTGACATCTATAGTTGACCTAGAAGGTGTTTTTTTTTTTTTTTTAATGACATTTGACTAGACGAAGAAGTGAAATCTAAGCTTGATGATATTTAATTCACTTTTTCGTTTGATAGTCATCCTTGCCATTCTTATGTACCAGGAGATGTGCAAGGTTGTATATGCCCCGCCACTGTTCATTATCGACTCATTTGTTTCTTCATCAAAACAATATTTTTTGGAGTTTATGTGTGCGAGGCACTGATTGCTGTTGATTAAAGTTGTATTTATATATTTAACTGACTTGAAAAAGCACTTTGTGTTTGTGTGAAGTGAAAGGCTATAAAGCTATAAAAGAAAGTAAAAGGGCAAGAGTTAAATAATACAAAGTAGTAAACAGAGCCCAAGCTAAAGATGCACAGAGGCAGTGGGTCACAAAATTGAGCCAGGGGTTTCTTGCTTTGAACACTAGCAAACAGTGTTGTTATCCTATAACATATCTAAGGTTAGCAGTTTGAGGCGAGAGAATCTTTTTTTTCTTTTCTAAATATATTTTATTGATTTTTTTACCGAGAGGAAGAGAGAGGGATAGAGTCAGAAACATCGATGTGAGAGAATCATCGATCAGCTGCCTCTTGCACACACACACCCCCAACCCCCCTCCACTGGGGATGTGCCCGCAACCAAGGTACATGCCCTTGACCGGAATCGAACCCGGGACCTTTTGGTCCGCAGGCTGACGCTCTATCCACTTAGCCATACCGGTTTCGGCGAGGCGAATCTTTTTCCTACCTATAACTTTTAAAAATAATTTGCCACATGGTGGTAGAGCCTTTCTGAGGAGGTGAGGTTTGAGCAGAGACCTGTGGGAATGAGCTGGGGCCCTTTGGAGAAAGCATTCCAGGCAATGCCAGGAGCAGCAAAGACCCATTCCACTAGAGAGGGGAGAAAAATGTATGAGGAGGAGGAAAGGAAAACCAAGCTAGGTCCTAGTGCCTCTCAGAGCAGAATATGTATTTTCTGAATATGAAGGCCTTTAAATAAAGTGGTTGATTAATCAGTTGTACTATAATATTTCCTAGTGAAGCCTCTAGGATCAGTAGTAGAATATTTTTCAGGAGCTACTGAGAGCTTTTCTCCACAATTCCTTATGTCAGCTAGATAGTTACTTTCAGAATTTGTTATGGTCCTCTTAGGCTCAGAGCCTCCTTTGGAAAGGTGTTTGTAAAGGATATTGGTGTCTTTATCTCACTTGTTTTACCTTTTTTAATCCTCACCTGAGGATATTTATCCCATTGATTTTTTTTTTTTTTTTAAGAGGGGGGGAGAAACAGAGAGAAGCATCAATGTGAGGGACACACATCAATTAGTTGCCTCCTGCATGCACCCCAATTGGGGCTGCGGATGGAGCCTGAAACCGAGGTACCATCCTTGACCAGTGTAGAATGGGAGACTCTTCAGTCTGAAGGTGGGAGTTATAATTACTGAGCCAAACTGGCTAGGGCTTATTTTACTTTTTATTGAAGTATGACATATATAGATAACACAAATTTAAAGTCTGCAGCTAATTTAGTTGTTTTACATACATATGTGTATATCACTCACTTCTACGTATATAATAGAACACTTTCATCCTCAAAATTCTCATTCTTTTTCCGAGCCAATAATTCTCTGCCATGAGACAAACCTTATTGTGACCTCCATCACCATCAATTAGTTTTGCTTGTTCTTGCGCTTAACATAAACAGGATTGTAGACTAGGTACTCAGTTGATTATAAGCACTCTGTCTTGCTATAAACATGTGTGGGATTCATTAATATTATGTGAATCCCAATTCTTTTTCATTGCTGTGTAGTATTCCATTGTATAAATGTAGCACAATTTATTATAACAATTGGCATGGAATGAGACTGCTAGATTCGAAATCCTGGTTTTATGATAACTTTGTAACCTCAGGAAAGTTCCTATTATCACTCTGAATCCCAATTTCAGTCTCTACAAATTGGAACAAAATAGGACTTTTGAAAGAATTTTTATGAAGATTGGTAATGTAAGATATATGTTGGGGCCCCTGTTCTGTTGTTCTGACCACACCAGTTTTCTTTCCGTTACTTGAATTTGCTCTGCTTAATTCTGTTGAGCAGCCTTTGGACTTGGCAGTTCCTTTTGCCTAAAATATACTCACTCTCTCCTGTTCTATCTCATGTTTTGCTTGGAATGCTCATCACCTTAGCTTTATTGTCTTCTCTGATCATCCTATATTTAACTTGGGCCCTAATTAATTTTCCCTGGCCAAGTAGCTCAGTTAGTTAGAGTATTGTCCTGATGTGCCAAGGTTTTGGGTTTGATCCCTGTTCAGGGCACATTCAAGAATCAACCAATGAATGCATAAATAAGTGGAACAACAAATCATTGTTTTTCTCTTTCAGAAAAAAAAGGGGGAGGGGGCAGGAATTTTGTGTATCTTGTTTACTACTATTGTGTTCTTAGTGTAGTGCCTGGGAGGTGGTAAGTACTCAAATGTGTTAAATTACTCTTATCATAATACTTGCAACAACTGTGACGTGAATATTTGCCTTTTCTAACAAGGAAGCTAAAGAGATTTAATTTGCTCAAGGTTATATGGTTCAGAAGTGATAAGTGCCTGGGTTTAATATATTAGGGTCATCTTTTGGAGGAGATGGTAGGATTGAGGGTGTATGATATAATGAAAGGTTTGATACCTGACTTTGAAGTATCTGACCCAGAGATAACTTTGTTGAGAGCATAGCTGGTTAGCATAAGCATGCATTGGTACCAGTTCTGCATGGTTATGTGGTTTTTCTCCATTATAGCTTAGGTAAGGAGAAGGGTTGATATTATTTATCATCCACAAATGGGGATTAGCTGTGGCTGGAAGAAAAGAGAAAATGGAGTCAAATTGGGATACCCAGAGCTAAAGGACTTCAAACTTTCAGTCAGTTTGAGCAAGACTACTTTTGCTTTTAACAACTGTTTATCTGTGGGTAACATTTTATTTTTTTTAATTCAATTTATTGGGTGACATTGCATTTTTTAGTAGTCCTCTTTTTAATTTATTTTTTTCATTAAAAAAATACTCTCATTGTTGAGAGTATTAAAGATGATCCCCTTTTGTCCCCCATTGCCCCCCTCCATACAGTTCCTGCCCTGACCCAGGACTTCACCAACCTATTTTCTGTGTCCATAGGTAATGCATATACGCATGTAAGATCTTTGGTTAATCTCTTCTTCCTCCTCTACTCCCCTCCCCCTCCCTCTGATATTTGTCAGTCTGGCCCATGTTTCCATGTCTCTGATTCTATTTTATTCACCAGTTTATACTGTTCATTAGATTCCTTGTTCCTTTATTTTGATTTATAGATTCAATTGTTGATAGATATATATTTATTGCCATTTTATTGTTCATATTTTTTATCTTTTTCTTCTCTTCCCCCTCCACCCTTCTTCCTTCTTTTCCCTCTCCCCCTCCCTTCAACATTTCATGTAATACTGGTTTGGTGGTGATGAATTCTTTTAGCTTTTTCTTATCTGTGAAGCTGTTTATCTGACCTTCAATTCTGAATGATAGCTTTGCTGGGTAGAGTAATCTTGGTTGTAGGTTCTTGCTGTACATCACTTAGAATATTTCTTGCCACTCCTGTCTGGCCTCCATAGTTTCTGTTGAGAAATTTGCTGACAGTCGTATGGACGCTCCCTTGTAGGTAACTAACTGTTTTTCTTTTGCTGCTGTTAAGATTCTTTCTTACCTAAGGCATTTTAATTATGATGTGTCTTGGTGTGGTCCTCTTTGGATTCCTTTTGTTTGGGGTTTTATGCACTTCCTGGACTTGTAAGTCTATTTCTTTCACCAGGTAGGGGAAGTTTTCTGTCATTGTTCTTTCAATTAGGTGTTCAATTTCTTGCTCTCTTCTCCTTTTGGCACCCCCATAATTTCAATAGCCATACATTGACTTTGCTCCAACCAAATGAGTCACATGGCCAGGGCTCTTTTTTATTTTATTTTATTGGACAGCTTCATATTTTCTAAGCAATTCAAATTCTGTATGATTTTGAGTCTTCTCCACATTAGAAGGAGAAAAAACTGTGATTGTCAGTGTATATCAGCCAAACTCTTCAGAATAAATGAGATGATAATTACCATTTATTGACTTTCTACTGTAAGCCAAGAACTGTGAGTTTACTGGGGAGAAGGCAGGAAAGGGGTAGGTATTGATCCTCTTGCAAAGTAAAGCTCCTGGCTTGTTTCTGTTATCTTTGCTCCAATAGTTTATTTGATTAAAAAATCATATTTAAACAGATTACTTACACTCAATATGTTTGTGCTTGTAGGAGCTGACTAAGGCTTTGGAACAGAAACCAGATGATGCACAATATTATTGTCAAAGAGCTTATTGTCACATCCTTCTTGGGAATTACTCTGGTAACTTCTCTTACAAAGTATATTGTTTCTTCTTTAAGTGTTACTTATAAAATTTGCCCATGATACAATGAGTAAAGTAAAATTGAGATTATCTTTGAGGGTTTTTAAATTGGTCTCTCATACAAGGTGAAGTAGCTGAAAAGTGACAAACATTATGTTATGCAATACTCGTTTAAGTTTTATGGATATCCCTCCTTCAGTGGGTAGAGAATTTATACAGATTTCATTTGTGGTTATTGAGTTTGCTAACAGATTAGCATCATATTTACTGTTTTATATCGTATTTAAATGAAATGTTCTTATTTGCATTTTTATAAGGAATGTATTTATTAGTTGTTTAACTTTAATTAATCTAGATAGAAAATCTGGGTAGGGAAAAATTAAATACCTTAACTCAAATTGCATGAATGATATTAATGAGAAAATTAGGTGAGCTTTGTAAAACACAGCTTTATTCACTGACTGAGTGCTTTAAAAAGGAAGTTAAATACTAGACTAATAGGAAGATATGAGGGTAATATTTATTGGATTATATCTTGAATTAGCTTTTCCTAATTTAAAACCACTTGTTCATTTGATCAACTTAAAAACCTAAACCTGATTCAAATTTTATGTGTAATATTTGTTAGGATCTGTAAAAAGCTGACTAAAAAAAACATTTTTTTCTAATGTATATAGATGCTGTTGCTGATGCAAAGAAATCTCTTGAATTTAATCCTAATAATCCCACTGCTATGATGAGAAAAGGGTATGCAACAACTATTCTTTTTGTTGGATCTGGACAATAGATATGTGTTTAAATTGTTGAATGAATTAGTAGTAAGCTTTATATAAATAGTAAATTCTGTATTTATACATTGTATAGCTGAGATAGGATTCAGTTTTAAATATAATTTATTATTTTACTTTGTATTAACAATATGTAATAGGAGATGTATACTTAGTATATTTTAAAATAGTGATGATTTAAGTAACTGCACGGTATAGATTAAACTGTTCATTATTTGGAATTTACTGACTTTGACTAGAGAACATTTATTCCTCAAACAAGCTGGACACGAGGCTACATTTAGTGCTATGAAAACTTTGTATCTGTTTCTTAGTTTTGTAACCCAGCTTGCTTCTGTTGATGGGACTTTTCTTTAATTAAGAAACTTCTTTAATTTCTTTGTATAAGTATGTTTTGGAATAAGCAAGTGTATACAATTAAAATAATGAAATCCCTTCTGATATGGATTCTAAAATTGGATGTTAGTGGAATTAGAAGTTACATAGATTATTTTAGAAAACAATACTATGATATATTTAAGAAAGAATGTTATTTTTCATAATCTCATGTGTGTGTGTGGCATTTGTTTTTAATATGTTCATACAGGATATGTGAATACCATAAAAAAAACTATGCTGCTGCTCTGGAAACATTTACAGAAGGACAGAAATTAGATAGTAAGTATTGGAATTATATGTTAATTCACTTATTTCTCTTATTTCTTAAATACTGTAGCTGAATTTTGTTAGTGTAATCTCAATTATAGAAACCCAATTCCATTATATTTCCTTTTAGTGGGATTTTGTGTTGATTGCAGAATTTGGGTTTACTTAAGTATTGATTGAAGTGGCCTTTCTTTAGTATTTAAATCCCTGATAAACTTTACCTTTAGAAGCTATTTTTTCCTAATGGATAAGTGAAAGTTTAATTCTTTCTGATGTTCAGAAGTCTATTTAAGTGTTATTCAGATAACTGATACAGGAAATCTTACAACAAAGATTGAGAAGTGAAGTGTTAGTTTAAGTAAACTATATAGGGCATGGAAGAAACATGGAGCTTTGAGAGTGTTGTATTTCATGTATTTAAAAATTTTTTTTTAAATTTAGTGAGAGGAAGGAAGAGAAGAAACAAACAAGATGTGAGAGCGAAACATACGATAGCCTGCCTCCTGCACATCCCTACAGGTGCTTGAACCCAAAACTTGGGCATATGTCCTTACTGGGAATCGAACCAGCAATCTTTAGGTACGCAGGACAATGCTCAACCAACTGAGCCACAGTGACCAGGGCTAAGGTCATCTTTTTTAAAATTTTTTATTTTATTGTTTGTTTGTTTTTTACAGAGAGGAAGAGATAGGGATAGAGAGTTGATGAGAGAGAAACACCGATCAGCTGCCTCTTGCACACTCCCTACCGGGGATTGTGCCTGCAACCAAGGTACATGCCCTTGACTGGAATCAAACCTGGCACCTTTTAGTCCGCAGGCCTATGCTCTATCCACTGAGCCAAACTGGTTTTGGCTAAGGTCATCTTTTTTAGAGCAATGTAGCTTTTCTCTGCCATTTGAAAGTAGAACCATATCTATGAAACTTTTTATAAGCCAAAATGGTATAAAGTGAAGGAAGTAATTATATATAATAAAAGCAAATTATTCCCTCAACCAGGGGGATCCTCCAGGAGTTTGACCATGGGGTGGCACCAGCTGGGGAAAGGGAGTGAGGCCCCAGCTGGTAGCCGGCAGCTGCTAGGGACCCTACCAGTGCACAAATTTCATGCACTGGGCCTCTAGTCATTGATATATATGTAAAAATTTTTGAATATTTTCAACCCCCAAAAATTACCTACCAAATATACCAAATAACACCTACAACATAAAATAATAGTAATAGATAGTAAAAGCAATGATATGATAAATACACAGCCTATAGAAAGTAGAAATATTTGTGCTTAGTAGTTTCACTTATCAAAAAGATTCAACTGATTTCTCATGAAGTATATGATAATGGGACACCACACTTTGTACACCCATCACTCAAGCAATAGACTTCATTTCATCTATTACTGGGTGTCAGCTACTTTGTTATTAGCAGAACCAATAATCACCTTGGCACCTTTCAAGTTTCTCTCTCTCTGGTGGACACAGGCAGGTTCAATGTACATAGAATGTTTATATTTTGTTCGTCACAATCAAATCCTTAATTATGTTCGGTTTTATGCTAAGTGCACAAACACCCTTACAATCTCTCATACAGTTTTCTAATACCTAACAGATACACAGAATAAATAGAGATAAAGACAGATGTGTACAGACCTAGTTTAAAAGTATGGAAAGTTGATGCTGAGATGCTGATTGTATTTCCTGGGGAAGGTGATTGGTGAGGGCACTCTCGCTGTTTGGGGTGCACACTACCTCTATAATGGCTCGTGCAAAACAAACAGTGAATGCTGTTTTCACTTTTTGTGAAACAGATTGGAGAGGGTGCAGGCTGGGCTGAGGAACACAAATCCCTGTGCATGAATTTCATGCACTGGGCCTCTAATATAAGAGCCAAGAACAAAAAATATGCAAAATACTAAAAGACAGTGGTTATAAGTAATCTCATAGATAATTGTAGACTACATAACCGTAATAATGTACTGTTATTTTATTTTCATCTTACAATAGAGTGTTATCACAATTCTCTAATGCAATGGCTCCTAACTTCCTGATTTCAATTTTGCTCCCTGGGGAACATTTGGCAATGTATGGAGAGATTTCTGTTTATTATGACAAGTGTGTGTGTTTGCGGGGAATGTGCTATTTACATCTGGTAAGTAGGGGTGCACAGGACAGTCCCCCATAACAGAGAAGTATCTTGTCCCAAATATTAGTAGTGCTGAGCTTGAGAAACCCAGCTCTAAAGTATTGTATGATTATATTTTAAAAAAATTTACTCTGTACTGCTTTGAATATTTGTTTTTGTGTTGTGTATCTACTCGAGAAACGGCATTAGGCCAGATTTTGCAAATGGAACCTACAAATTAGGAAGGAAGAGATCTAGACAATAGGAGTTATTCCCGGGTGTGGTACGTGAATAGTATGGCTGGCTATTCAATTAGCAAATCACTTAGCAAATTCTAGAGTTCAGTTATCTAGTGCCTTGATGTGTGTTTGAAAACCCTAAAGCAGTGGTTCTCAAACTTTTTAATGCTGTGACCCTTTAATACAGTTCCTCATGTTGTGGTGACCCCCAATCATAAAATTATTTTTGTTGCTACTTCATAACTGTAATTTTGCTACTGTTATGAATTGTGACCCACAGGTTGAGAACCGCTGCTATAGAGCCTAAGACCATCAGAAAACACAGATATTTACATTACGATTCATAACAGCAAAATTACAGTTTTGAATAGCAATGAAAGTAATTTTATGGTTGGGGGTCACTACGACATGAAGAACTATATTAAAGGATTGCGGCATTAGAAAGATTGAGAACAACTGCTAAAAAGATATGAGTCATTTCATCTTCTAGATTTCTAAGCCCTGTTTCTTTTTTAATTTTTTAAATTTAATTTTTTAATTTTTAATTTTTTTTTAACATTTTACTTTATTTTTAATATATTTTATTGATTCTTTACAGAGAGGAAGGGGGAGAGATAGAGAGCTAGAAATGTCATCGACCAGCTGCCTCTTGCACACCCCCTATCGGGGATGTGCCCGCAACCAATGTACATGCCCTTGACCGGAATCGAACCGGGACCTTACAATCTGCAGGCTGATGCTCTATCCACTGAGCCAAACCAGTTTCGGTGACTCACAATATTTTTTAATAAATATATCTTTATTGATTTCAGAGAGGAAGGGAGAGGGAGAGAGAGATAGAAACATCAATAATGAAAGTCATTGATTGGCTGCCTTTTGAATGTCCCCTATGGGAGTTGGAGCCCTCAATCCAGGCATGTGTCCTTGACCGGAATTGAACTCGGGACCCCTAAATCTGCAGGCTGACACTATTTACTGAGCCAAACCAGCTAGGGCTATGACTCACAATATTAACCCCCCACCCATTTATATGGTAGGAAGTTTGGCTTATTTATTGTGATTACTTTGAATAAAAGGTTACTTAAGTCTAATATTTTGATGTAATTATTCCTGACTAGAATGAATGTGTGGGTCTGTATTAAGACCTGCATAGTTACATTCCACTTAGAAATTAAATTATAGAATTAGAACTTATTAGAAAACTTTATTGTAAGAAATTTTTAATTCTTATTTTTCAGAATTATCTTGCCTGCAATTAGTTTGAATTAGTAAACTTTTATTTAAGAGTATTTTTAAGCCCTAATTAGTTTGGCTCAGTGGATAGAGCATCGGCCTGTGGACTGAAGAGTCTCAGGTTTGATTCCGGTCAAGGCCATGTACCTTGGTTGTGGGCACATCCCCAATAGGAGGTGTGCAGGAGGCAGCTGATTAATGTTTCTTTCTCATCGCTGTTTCTAACTCTCTATAAAAAATCATTAAAAATATATTTAAAAATAAATAGTTAAGTATTTTTTTTTAAAAAGAGTTCTTTTAATAATTTTTCCTAACATATTTTATTGGATTCTGTGATTTTAGAGATTGTCGTTGTTCTGAACCTTCAGAAGTGAATAATTTATATACATGATCACATTGCTATCTGTAAATACATAGTTCACTAACTATAGATAGTTCTTGGCTGCCTTGAAACTTGGAATGAAAAAACTTCACAAAGTATAAAGATGCTTCTTGGTGTTGGTAGGATAGGCATGGTAAGGAGCCACTGAGAAAATAGAATACAGAATAGATAGATAGCTTCATTGGAGAGCAAACTGGGGTTGAGAGAGGCTTCTAGACAACATTCCAGCTGCTGGTTATTAAGCCTCCTTCCCATCCTAACACTTTGGGAATCTCCTTTGGGTCTGATTTTGCTTTGTGAGAGAGGAAGAAGCTCCTTTAAGAGGAGAGGGGTGAGGGAAAATGTAGGTTTATCTGGAAAATGGTAAAGTTGACTGGTAAAAATTAAATTAAAAAAATTTGAATTCTTTAGGATGAGCAGCTCAATGTTAAACCTGTTGGTATATTTATAGCTATAACATTAGGATTGCTGCAAGCTCTGTTAGGATAGTTTTTTTTTGTCTATTTAATTCACTGCTGAATCCCCAGTGCCTAGAGCACTGTTTGGAACATAGTAGGTAATCAATAAGTATTTCTTGAATTATATGTTAGATTTGAAGATGACTGATTTTATAGTCAGTTTGCTCTTTCTAGGTGCAGATGCTGATTTTATTGTCTGGATTAAAAGGTGTCAAGAAGCTCAGAATGGTAAGTATGTAGGTTTCTCATGATCTTTCAATTTAAAAAGAAGTAATGGTCAACATATTTTACTTAATCAAATTTGTCTTTTACTTTATAACTTTTGTAAGTAATGCACATTTCCTTAGATAGGAACTTCCAAAGGAATTCTTTTGAAAAAAATTTATAACAGCTTTATTGAAATAGAATTCATGTTCTATAAAACTTACCCATTTAAAATGTAAAATTAAATGGTTTTTAATATATTCACGGAATTGTGCAACCATCAAAAAAAAATTGTGCAACCATCACCATAATCAATTTTAGAACATTTCAACATCCTCTAAAGCAGTTCTCAACCTGTCTGTTGCCATGACTCTTTAATACAGTTCCTCGTGTTGTGGTGACCCCAACCATAAAATTACTTTGTTGCTAGTTCATAACTTAATTTTGCACTGTTATGAATCGTAACGTAAATATTTGTGTTTTCCAATGGTCTTTAGCTACCCTGCTAGCGATTCTCAACCTGTGGGTCTGGGTCGTGACCCACATGTTGAGAACTGCTGCTATATAGCCTAAGACCTAAAGAAACTGCTCTAAAGAAACCACATAAACTTTTAACACTCTTTCTTCTCCACTGTCTCCTAACCCTATTGCTCCCCAGCCTTAAGAAAGCACTAATCTACTTTCTGTCTCTATGGCTTTGCCAATTCTGGATATGTATATGTATATGTATGTGTATGTGTATGTGTATGTATATGTATATGTATATGTATATGCATACACATAAATATGTGTGTGTGTGTGTGTGTATAAATCTATGTACATAAAAGGCTATTATGCAAAGTGTCCCCTCGGGAGTTCAACTGGGAGTTTGACTACTCGCTATGACATGCGCTGACCACCAGAGGGCAGTGTGGAATGAAGGAAGGCTCTGGCTGGCAGTCAGAAGGCCCGATTGGCCCTGTTCGCCACCCAAGCCTAGGGACCCTACCCATGCATGAATTTTGTGCACCAGGCTTCTAGTTTCATATAAATGGAACCATGCAGTATATGGTCTTTTGTGACTGGCTCCTTTACACTTAGCATAATGTTTTCAAGGTTCAAGTTTCAGTGACTGTCTGACCTTAAAAAATAGGTATAACCTATAAAGTGCTAGATCCTTTTCTTTTTGTTTATGGGTTGCATCCTCCTGGAGGGGTGTCATGCAACCACACAATTTGGGCCCTGTTTCTGTGAACAGGTTCTCTCCTCATTCCCTTCAGTAAGTCCCTGACAATGCCCAGATCATTTGACTCCTACTCTCCCAAGGAGCATCTAAGAAGCTGTTTTTGCTAAAGATACTTTTTTATCTTTAAAATTTTTTTTCAATTATAGTAGACATACATTTTTTTTTATTTTTTAAAATATATTTTATTGATTTTTTACAGAGAGGAAGAGAGAGGGATAGAGAGTTAGAAACATCGATGAGAGAGAACCATCAATCAGCTGCCTCTGCACACCCCCCACTGAGGACGTGCCCGCAACCAAGGTAATGCCCTTGTCCAGAATCGAACCTGGGACCCCCCCCCCCCCCCAGTCCACAGGCCAATGCTCTATTCACTGAGCCAAACCGGTTTCAGCTATAGTAGACATACATTGTTATATTAGTTTCAGTTGTACACCTCAGTGATAGACATTATATAACTTACTAGATGGTTATCCCAATAAATCTTGCATCCATCTGACACCATGCATAGTTATTAGAGTATTATTGATTACATTCTCTAGTCTATTATTTATATCCCTATAACTATTCTGTAACAACTAATTTGTACTTTGTAATCTATTCACCCTTTCACCCACCTGCCCAATGCCACCTAACCCTCTAATCTGGCAACCATCAAAATGTTCTCTGTTTATGAATCTGTTTCTGTTCTGCTTATTTATTTTGTTTTTTAGATTGAATGGTTAATAGATGATTGCCATTTTGATCTTTTTTTCCTTTCTCTTTTTTTTAAAGATTTTTTGCAACTTTTAAAAAAATATATATATTTTATTGATTTTTTTACAGAGAGGAAGGGAGAGAGATACAGACAGTTAAAAACATCGACAAGAGAGAAACATCTATCAGCTGCCTCCTGCACAACTCCTACTGGGGATGTGCCTGCAACCTAGGTACATGCCCTTAATCAGAATTGAACCCGGACTTTCAGTCTGCAGGCCAACGCTTTATCCACTGAGCCAGTTTTGGCTGCAACTCTTTTTTTTTTTTAATCTTTATTGTTCAGATTATTACAGGTGTTCCTCTCCCCCCCCCCCCCCCCTTTCTATCTCCCTTCCACCCGATTTCCCACCCATCCCACCTCATGCCCTCACCTCCCACCACTATCTTCATCCGTAGGTGTAAGGCTTTTGTCCAATCTCTTCCCACATCCCTCAGACCCCATTCCCCCTGAGAATCGTCAGTCCACTCCCTTCCTATGTCCCTGATTCCATTATATTCACCAGTCCATTCTGTTTTTTAGACTTTTTATTCACTTGATTTTTAGATTCACTTGTTGGTAGGCATGTATTTGGTGTCTTTTTGTTGTTCATAGTTTTTATCTTTACCTTTTCCTTCTTCCTCCTAAAGAATATCATTCAGCATTTCATGTAATCTTGGTTTGGTGGTGATGAACTCCTTTAGCTTTTTCTTGTTTGTGAAACTCTTTGACCTTCAATTCTGAAGGATAGCTTTGCTGGGTAGAGCAATCTTGGTTGTAGGTTCTTGCTATTCATCACTTTGAATATTTCTTGCCACTCTCTTCTGGCCTGCATAGTTTCTGTTGAGAAATCAGCTGACATTCGTATGGATACTCCCTTGTAGGTAACTGTTTTTCTCTTGCTGCTTTCAAGATTCTCTCTTTGTCTTTTGCCGTTGGCATTTTAATTATGATGTGTATTGATGTGGTACTCTTTGGATTCCTCTTGTTTGGGGTTCTGTGCACTTCCTGAACTTGTAAATCTATTTCTCTCACCAGGTAGGGAAAGTTTTCTGTCATTATTTCTTCTAATAGGTTTTCAATACTTTGCTCTCTCTCTTCTTCTGGCGCCCCAAAAATTCTGATGTTGGTATGCTTAAAGGCTCCTTACATTGTCTTCATATTTTTGAATCCTTTTTTTCTTTCTGTTTTTCTAGTTGGGTATTTTTTGTTTCCTCGAAATTTCAGATCTCTGGTTTGGTTCTTGGAGTACGTTAATCTACAGTTGAGTTTCTATAAATTCTTTATTTCAGACAGTGTATTTTTAATTTCTGACTGGTCCTTTTCCTTTTCCTTTTTTTTTTTTTTTTTTTTTTTTTTGGCATTCTCATTAAGGTCCTTGAAGTTCTCATCAAGTTTCTCAGCAGTGTTTAGAAGATTCTTGAGTAACCTTATAAATGTGGTCCTGAATTCCATATTATCCTGTAGTTTGCTTTTCTCCATTGCCCCCTTTCGTGACATGCCTCTGTGTCTCCGCATTTTGGCTTCTTCCCTGTGTTGATGGAGCAGCTTTGTGTGGTAGGTGAACCACAGGGGCCAGTAGCTCAGCCTCCCCAATCACCCGAGGTGGACGGTCTTGGTACACCCCTTTGTGAGCTGAGTGCAAAGTCTTGTTGTAGTTAAGCCTTGATTGCTATTGGTACTCTGGGAGGAATTGTCCTCCAGGCCAATTGGGTGTGGGGACCCACTGTGTTTATAATGGAAGTACTGCTGTGCTGGAGACACGCTTATGGTGCAGGACTTGTTTCACTGGGGGTTTGGTGCTCACTGAGTCTGCCTCTTGAATGTGTCAGTTATGGATGTGAGGAGTTGAAATCTGTGTCTCACACTGACCACTAGGTACACTGGCTTCTGGATCTCCAATTGGGTGAAGGTCAGCTACTGTCTGAAGTCACCCTGCAGGAGCTACAGCAAGAACTAGTCTTTTTCTCCCTGCTTGGGATTTGTAGATTATGGAGCTGTCTGAACCGGTTTGCAAGTTAGCAGTGATAGGGAAGGCCATTCATATGCAAAAGCCACTGCTTGGAGCTTGGGTGTGTTTGTAGATTGTGTGGGGTAGAGTCTTAGGGCAACATTAGGCTAGGGCATGGCAAACAGCAATGGCTGACAGTGAGCCATCCTGCGCCTCTGACTTTGTCCCTGAGTCTTGCGCCCTAGCGCAGCAAACTATTATTCCTCCGTGCAACTCTGCAAGCGAGCGACCCTCACTTTCAAACCTGATGGCAGACAGTCCCCGTAGGAGTTTGGGTCTTGGGTGTCTCCCCTTTGGGTTGAAGAAAGCAGTGCCTACCGCCAGCCCGTATCGCGCGCCCCTGTACCTCAGTTTTTCAGCATTTGTGCACTGAATGCTCCTCTCTGTCTGGTTGTAGAACTTCCACTCATCCAGCCCTCCTATGGCTCTGTGTGATAGATGTTTGTCTTTTAGTTGTAGTTTTGAAATTGTTGTGCACAGCCGCAGTTTAGGTGTGTTTATCTACTCCACAATCTTGGGTTCTGTCTTTTTCTTCTTAAAGAAGATTCTTTAACATTTCTTGTAATACTGGTTTGGTGGTGTTGAACTCCTTTAGCTTTTTCTTGTCTGGGAAGCTCTTTATCCATAGATTCTAAATAATAGCTTTGCTGGGTAGAGTAATCTTGGTTCTAGGTCCCAGTTTTTCATCATTTTGAATGTTTGTTTCCAATTCCTTCTGGCCTGCAATGTTTCTGTTGAGAAATTAGCTAACAGTCTTATGGGAGTAATCTTGTAGTTAACTAACTGCTTTTATCTTGCTGCTTTTAAGATTTTCTGTTTGTCTTTAACATTATGCATTTAAATTTTGTGTTTTAGTGTGAGCTTCTTTGGGTTCATATTGTTTGGGACTCTGTGCTTCTTGGACTTACATGTCTATTTCCTTCACCAATTTAGCAACATTTTCTGTCATTATTTTTTCAAATAGGTTTTCAATTTCTTAGTGTTTCTTCTCAATTTGGTGCCTCTATGATGTGAACATTGGTATGCTTGAAGCTGTCCCAGACTCCTTACAGTATCTTCCTTTTTTTCAAATACTTTTTTCCTTTTGCTGTTCTGATTGCTTTTTGCTTCATCTTCCAAATCTAGTATGTTCCTTAGCTTAATCTATTCCACTGTTGATTTCCTGTAATGCATTTTTCATTTCAGTTAATGTATTTTTTATTTCTTACAGTTGTTTGTTTTTATATTTTGTTTCTCTATTTTTATGATTCCTATCTGTTTGTTGAAGCTTTCACTAAAGTCATCTCCTCTTCCCCTACATTCATTGAGTATCCTTATAAAGAGTATTTGGAGTCTGCATTCAGTGAGTTTGCTTATCTCCATTTTGTTTAGTTCTTTTTTGGCTTTCTGATCTTTTCTTTCATTTAGGATATGTTTCTTTGTCTCATTTTGGCAACCTCCCTTTGTTTCTTTCCATGTATTAGAGAGAACTGCTGCGTCTCTCTAGCTTTGTAAAGTGGACTGACATAGTAGGTTTTCTGTAGAGCACAGCCTCCCTGGTCACCCAAATTGGGCAGTCAAGGTGCACCCACCTTATGGCACTATACACCTTCCTCTTGCAGTTGAGTCTGATTGCTGTTGACATGTCAGTGGGAGGCACTTACCCCCATGCTGCTCTTAGAGCTGGCTGCGACCTCGATCATGGTGGAGGATCAGCTGTGCAGGGGCCCACCCCATAGGACTTAATTCTGTGGGTCTCTGATGCCTGCACAGTCCCTCCCTTGGGTGTTTCACTTCTGAAGGTGGTAATGCTGCAATGTGGTCTGAATCTGTTCAGTGGATATACTGGCACTGGGGCCTCCAGGAGCAGGCTAAGGTTAATTACCACCTGTGTTCTGTCTGGGATCACCTGGTATGAGCTACAAAGTGATACCCAGATATTCTACTTGTGCTTTGTTTGGAGGTGCTCAGGTGAGGTCAAGCTGATTACTGCTAGTTCTGGGCTTGGCATCCCTTAGCAAGGGGTATGGGGCTCACTGTTTAAGATGCTGCTTGTTTTGAGAGGTTTTAGGATATCTCAGCTGCTGCCCTGAAGCTTAGAGCAAGTGAGTCCTGGGAATTGTGCACAGGCCCTTTAAGAGGAGCTACCTGGGGCTCCAGCATCCTCATCTCCCTCAAGTGTCAACTCCTTCCAGTTTTTTTCAGCCAGAAGTTATGAGAACTTCTCTTCTTGGCACAGGAACTCTGAGCTGGGGGTCCTGGTGTGGGGCTGGGACTCTTTGCTCCTAGGGGGGAACCTCTGCAGCTGAGATATCCCTCTTAATTTTTATCTGCTACATGTAGTTGTGGGACTAACCCCTTTGCCATGTCCATTCCTCCTGCCAGTCTTGATGTAGCTGCTTCTTTAATTCCCCAGATGTAGGATTTCCATTCAGCCAGATTTCAGGCAGTTCTTAATGATGGTGGTTCTGTAGCTGTAATTTTGATGTAGTTGTGGGAGTAGGTGAGTATTGTGTTTATCTGATTGCCATCTTGACAGGAATTCTTCCAAAGGTATTCTGAGTTTGTTATGTTGAAAGGAGATGTGGATGAATTTGTGTTGCAGTGGTATCACTGGTACACAATTACTAAGGAATTAAAATTAAACCAGGATGCAAAATTAAACCACTTTCTAAAATTTAGAATGTACGGAGAATTGGTTTGCTTAATCAGTATGTGCGTGCCATAGAGATCATGCACATAACTTTACCTATAAATGCAGTTATCTGAAATATTTCTTTTTTATTTTTTTTTAGAGTTACAATCAACGGCGGTAAGTCCAAAGTTTTTATCTTTCATGTTTTTAATTACATTATTGCTGTGCATATTTGAGACAGGATAAAGATCAGAATGATCATTCTCAGTTAAATATTAAACAATACAATTTAAATACTTGTTCATTTAGTAACTGAAATAACAATGAAATAACATTGGTGAAAAAGGTATAGACTTTTTTATTTTTATTGAAATAAATTTTAGAGATATTTGAGAGAAGGAGGGAGAAGGGATAGGGAGGAAGGGAGGGGAAGAGAGAGGGAAACATAGATCAGTTGTTTTCTGCATGCCCTCTACCAGGGACTGAGCCTGCAACTCAAACATTGCCCTGTGTGGGAATTAAACCGCTGACCTCTAGGTACATGAGATGACACTCAGCCAACTGAGCCACACCAGCCAGGGTTATATAGGGATTTATAGTCGTGAAAATTATTGGGCTCTTTTAAAGCATTTAGTGTGGTTCTAGTTGATTCGGTATATTTTAGTATGGTCAGGTTGATTGTTTTCTCTGCTGAAAACCAATAATTTAGGTTAGGTAATTTCTGTACTTACAGGGCTTATGGTATGCTAAAACTCAAAGATTAAAGTTTAGAAATGTTTGTCTCTAACTCGGTTTTATGTTATTTTGGACATGAAAATATTCAAGTTTTTCTGTTATTAAAAATTATGGTGTATTGGTTCAATTTTTGTTTTAACCAACTTAGGTTTATATATAAAACCATAGTTAAATTATGGCTAATGGTTTTTAGGAGTGATCTTCTACATATTTAGTCAAATAAAATGACAAGGAGTTAGGAGATATGTGTGTGGTTTTAATTCTTCATAAGCAATTAACCTTTTGGAGCAGTAGTTCTCAGCCTTTCTAATGCTGCGACTCTTTAATACAGTTCCTCATATTGTGGTGACCCCCCAACCATAATTATTTTTGTTGCTACTTCATAACTGTAATTTTGCTACTTTTAATGAATTGTAATGTAAATATCTGTGTTTTCCAATGGTTTTAGGCTGTATAGCAGTGGTGCAACCCACAGGTTGAGAACCGCTAGCAGGATCGCCTAAGACTATCAGAAAACATAGATATTTACAGTTCGTAACAGTAGCAAAATTACGGTTATGAAGTAGCAACAAAAATAATTTTATGGTTGGGGGTCACCACAGCATGAGGAACTGTATTCAAGGGTCATGGCATTAGAGAGGTTGAGAACCACTGTTTTATAGTATTTCTTTTTCATTCGTAAAGGAAGATTTACATTTCTGTCTTCTAGAATTACACTGTGACATTGAGAAAGTCACTTACCCTCTGAGCTTTCTTCATGTGTATATTGGGCCTCATAGAACTAATCTACTCAGGCAGGCTGTTGTGGGCATCAGGCCAGTTATGTGCATATGCAGTGACTAGGTTTTTGAACATCACCAAAAGTGAGTGATAGCTGGCTATTCTTAGGTCTCTAGGCTTGTTCATATTCCTAGGGGTGATGAATAGGTAGGAAATGGATTGAAGGAATTGTTTAAAAGTTGGCTTTCTTTACCTAATAGTATTTTTGTCCATGTCTTACAATATTTGGAATTGGGATTGTGTCTGAAAACAACACAGTGGAATATGGATAACAGACTGTCTAGTAACATAAACAGCTTAGTCACATGCATGTTATTACTACTATAATTCAATCTAATTTTATATTGGTACTAAGATGAATCTTTTTACTTAGGGACAACTTAGAGGCCACCTAAAAGGGCAAATTCTTTCAATTTTACATCGTGTTAACTGGCACATACATAGTTTAGGGAAGTATGGATTGGTCAAGATTCACTTTGTTTCCTGATGGGCAAGGTAGGATGTTTGTTGTAGAGACGCCATAATGGAGTAAGATATTGTCTAGAGGGCACTGTGTAAGTGTTGCTTCATATGTTCCAGAGCAGTGTTGCCATTGTTATGCCTAAAATAAAAATTTAAAAATATATTTTTATTGAATTCAGAGAGAGAAACATCAATGATGAAAGAGAATCATTGATTGGCTGCCTCTTGCACACCTGCCCTCTACTGAGGATCTAGCTCACAACCTGGTATGGGCCCCTGACTGAAATTGAACCGGGGACCCTTCAGTCTGAAGCTGACACTCTATCCACTGAGCCAAACCAGCTAGGCTAAAAAAAAAAAAATTAATCTTTCTTTTTTCAGTTTAGAGAGTTAGTCTTGGAACTTGACATTTTATATGTAACCTTTTTCAATCATACCTTTAGAAAGTTGTTTTTGTATGCTTTTTAAAATTTTATTTTAAAAGAAAAATGTTTTCATAAAACTTATAAAATTAAAAAATTCTGAATTATTCTAATTTTTGTGTGAAGCCTAATGTTATTTAATAATTATAGTACCAGGCTTTGTCTTTGAAGGAAGTTCTCATTTAGTTTATTCCATAGCAAACTATAGCACTAGGTAAATTAATAATATGTACATTTGATATACGGTTGCTAAGCTAACTTGGAAAAATCTTTTCTCTTTCAATTTGCCTCAGTCTGTATCCCAGAGGAATTCTCAGCCGAAAATCAAGTAAGTGTTTCATTTTCATAAAACAATGCATAAATATGCCCAAGGAGAAAAAAAAACAAAACAACCCTGTTGTTTAATAATAAGCAAGTCCCTACCCTGTAATTATAAGTGTTTCTTAAAATCGTATTATAAAAATCATATTATAGCCTGGAAAAACTAATTCTAAGGGTGTTTACTGATTAGTATTAGTACTTAAATTAATGTTAAATTCAGATCATTTGTCTGCTTTAAATTTGTTTTGTGTTATGTCACCTTTCCATATATGAAAGAGAGAATTTTCCAACTAAGTTATTAATACACAGGTAAATAAATTGATAGTAGGCTTGATAGAATTGTAACTTGGCCTGTCTTATATTTGGAGTAAATTTTTTATGAATTGAAAATAACTCTTGTTGATTACAATAGTGAATAAGCATCTAACAAGTATTTCAATTGACTTTAAATTACTTATTAGCCATGTGTACAACTTGTATTCTTGTAACAGAAACACAAGGAATTGATTTGGAGCATTGCATCCTCACCAAATTTCAGAGGGAAACTGAGATACTTAAAGTTCATTACTTGAAATGGCTTGGAAATGTTAAAATAATTTATTCATATTCTTTTTTTTTAATTTTTAAGTAAAAATTTTAAACCTTTCCCAAGGATATGTTTATTGATTTGATAGAGAAAGAGAAAGAAAAACATCAGTGTAAGAGAAACATTGATCGGTTGCTTCCCATATGCATCCTGACTGGGATTGAACCCACAACCTAGGTATGTGCCAGGACTGCAGATCGAACTTACAACTTTTGCATGGGATGACGCTTCAACCAACTGAACCATCGTCCAGGGCTAGTTCATGTTCTTTGTGGGGAGAAAGAGGATGATTCTCCAAGTACCAAGTATACAAGGAACTTTGGTGGCGGCAGCAGGGGTAGGATACATAAACATCAAATAATTTGATTTTTGGAGCATAAAATAGTCCAACATTGATTTAATAAGTACACTGTGTACCAGGCACTGAGGTTGGTCCTGGCAAAATAATAGTGGCACAATAGATAAATAGCTTTGACCTCAAGGAGTTTATAATCTAGATTAATTAGAAAGTGACAATTCTTTTATTTTTAGAACTTTAAGTGGGAAAGATACGCAGAATCTCTAAGCACACTAGTTTTCCCACATACCTTCAGGTTGAAAAAAGATAATGTATTTAATGATATACTTGGTGGGATGAATTAAAGTTTAAATTATTTCAATTTCAGCTCATTTGCTTTTGCTTCCCTGTGCTCAGGGCTCTTTGTTCCCAGTTTCAGTTAAGAGATTATTGAAGCTGACCTGGGTCCACTGTTACAACTGCCACTGACTGATTGCTTCACCTTTCTGAACTATATCAGTTTATTCGTAAAATTGGGATTAGAAGTGTTTCTTATTCGTAAGATTGGAACGAGTGTGTGAAACTATTGATGGTGTATAATAATTGTTAGCTGTTTGGAATAAATTTCTTTAACATTAGCACAACACAAACATATAAGTGAAAACCCCAAAATCATGTAAGTATGTAAATCCAGTGGAAAGGTTTGGGGCATCCTATACTTACCATCTGTACTGTTCTATCACTACAGATCATAGAAAATTAGTTTCGTGAAATGTGTATCTTTAGTTGTTGTGCTAGTTTGTTCCTTAAGGTGGAGCTATTGTTTATCAGATTGTAGTTTTTATCTTGACAAAACATAAGCAACAATAAGAAAATTAGAATTTCTGTTTTAAGTTTCTTTTTTCTTTTTTAATAGGTATGACTGGTATCAAACAGAATCTCAAGTAATCATTACACTTATGATCAAGAATGTTCAGAAGAATGACGTAAATGTGGAATTTTCAGAAAAAGAGGTCATTAGTCTTTGAACTATTTTTTTTATGTTGAGAGTAAATACTATTATTTGAAATATAGTATGTTGCAGAGTAATCTATAGCAGTTTATCAGATATGGCTTTTCTTTCTGAGGTTATGTGGAAAATGCTGATGGAAATCTAAAGCATTGCTTTCAATTTGCATAATTCTAAGTTTTGAGATAAGAGTATGTATATGGTAAATCTATGTTCTTCCAGATTTTTAATTCAAAGCAGAACTTGATTGACAAATATAGAAGATGTTAATAAGATGTGATTTGTTTATATTTGTGTGGTATATACTTCATGAAGAAAGGTCTACTTATTGTGTAATTTATACATCTTAGAATTTACTAACAGTATTAAGTGAATATGACTTAATATCTTGGTTTCTCAGCATTTAGTAGAAAACTTTATGATAGAGTTAGTGATATAAGTAGATGTTTTGCCTATGAATATTTTCTTTTATACTGTGTCATTATGCTCACTATCTTCTGTTTCTTTGAGATTTAAGTATTAAGTATGTGTTTTGAAGCATTGTTTTCCGCTATTTAACTTAATTGTGTATGTGAGAATCCATGTGAAGGATACCAGGTTTTAAAAATGAATTATTTTGAGGTTCATAAATCTGTGTTTAAAATATTCTGCAACGTATTGAAGTTCTGTGATTATATTTAGTTTAAGTATTTTACCCTTCATTATATAAATTTATAAAATGTGCTGCTGCTTTTGTGTTCATTAGTTGTCTGCTTTGGTGAAACTTCCTGCTGAAGAGGATTACAATTTGAATCTGAGACTACTTCATTCTATAATACCAGAACAGAGCATGTTTAAAGTTCTTTCAACAAAGGTAAGAAAATTGAAAAGGGTTGTCAGTAGTAATATTTTTAAAATATAGAAACATTGGTCAACTAATTACTCATGTGGTTATAAGCTTGTAAATCCTTCAGCTACTTATCTCTAAAAGGGACAGGTAAATAATGATAATTTGTGTTTGTTTGTTTGTTAATCTTCAACTGAGGATATTTTTTCTATTAATTTTTAGAGAGTGAAAGGGAAGGAGTGAGGGAGAGGGAGAGAAACATCATAGATTGGTTGCCTCTTGCACACGCCCATCTGGGGCTGGGAATCGAACCTGCAATCCAGGTATGTTTTGCCCTGGACGAGGAATCAAACCAGAGACCCTTCTATGTGTGGGTTGATGCTCTGTGTTTGAGTAACAATTTTCCCCTCCCTAAATTCTAGGACAATCTATCTCTATATATAAAAGCCTGATATGCAAAGTGTCCCCTCAGGGATTCGACTGGGTGTTTGGTCACTTGCTATGATGTGTGCTGACCAAGTGCGGAGTGAAGAGAGGCCCCAGCCAGCAGCCAGAAGGCTCCAATCAGCCAGGCCTAGGGACCCTACCTGTTCACAAATTTCATGCACGGGGCCTCTAATAGAGCATAAAATTCTACTTAATTTCAATGGTATCTGTATACTTGTTAAGACACGTGTAATACTTCTCAATAAAAAGGTTTTCAAAAAAGATGTAAATACCGACAATGACTCTTCTCTTGAGCTTGTTTTGATATACAAATACTTTTCTCACCCTACCTTATACAGTAAAAAATATAGACTACTATAAAGACGAATCTGCTCTTTTGTTTATTTTTTAGTCCAACTAAATTTTATAGTACTTTGATATGAGGGATTAATGAATAGTTTAAATAGCAATTTTTGTGTATAACTCAGATATTTTTATATTTTAAAAAATAAGTAAAATATGCAATGGAATTCAAATTCAACTGATACTTTAAATATCAATTAAAAGATGTAGATGTATAATTTAGTCAGAAAAATAATGAACTGAAAATTTGAAAAATCTGGTTCTTTGCTTGTCCTGTAATTTAACCTAGTCACAAAATGACTAGAGGATTAAATTTTCATCTATAAAAATGAGCGATGTGGACTAAATGAGCTCTATATTTCTTTTATCTATAAAAAATTCTATGAAGGTATATAAATTAATGAGAATAAATAATAGAGTTTTTTCATTACTACACCTTTATACACATCCTACAATATGTTGTGTTGTTAATTATTGAGTGTTAAGTTCTAAGAACATGTGACTTTTCTATCAGAGAGTCGAGTTAGGGTCAGCCCATGATATGAGAGTGGTAACTGGGCCTGCAGAAAGAATAGTACACCTGCAGAGGGTTGAAACAGGAAGTACAAAGTAAGGCTCCAATCTAGTTACAAATGATTTGCCTACTTGTTTATTTGAAGATTATAAAGTACAAAGCTGTATGATTATTGGGGAGAGAGAAAACAGAGTTGCTTGGACCATAGAAAGTCAAAAAAGGGATGAAATCTTAGTCTTACTGGCCCCATCCATTCACATAGTGTAGAACAAACTCGTCAAACTCAAAGGCTAACATGGACCAAATAAGCAAGGTTTAAGTTTATGTGGGCTACAAAAAAAAAAAAAAAAAAAGCTTAAATTTTCATGGAAATGTAGGTTTATTTTGATAAAGACATGCTGAATCCAAGGGCTGAAATAAATGAATAATCATTAACATAAAATGATAGAATATTTTAATAAAAATTAACATTAACTTACCGGACATTGAATAACTGTACAAATTAATAAGCGTAATGCAAACAAAGCTATTTTTCTTGTTCTCTGAAAATGAAATATTTTCTGTTGCTCACACCAAACAAATCAGTCCAAGACTAATGGTGTGGCAATCGGCTGATGAAATATTCACTGCTAAAAGACAAAGAGAGAATATTAAAAGTAGCAAGAGCAAAGAAGGAGCCTATAAAGGAGCTACCTATAAAGGAGCACCTATACGATTGTCAGCTGATTTCTCAACAGAAACCATGCAGGCCAGACAGGAATGGCAAGAAATATTCAAGGTGATGAATAGTAAGAACCTACAGCCAAAGATAATCTACCCAGCAAAGCTATCACTCAGAATCGAAGGTCAGATATAGAGCTTCACTAATAAAAAAAAGCTAAAGGAATTCATTACCACTAAACCAGAATTATATGAATTGCTGAAGGGGGTTCTTTCAGAAGAGAAAGTAAATAAAGATAAAAATTATGAAAAACAAATACGTAACTATCAACAAGTGAATCTAAAAATCAAGGAAATAAAAAAAAATCTGATGAACAATATTAACTGTTGAATATAATAGAATCAGAGGTATGGAAGGGGAGTGAACTGACGATTCTTGGGGAAATGGGAAGAGGGGGATGTGGGAAGAGACTGAACATAAACTGTGCACCTATGGATGAGGACAGTGAGGGGTGGGGAAAGGGCAGAGGGTGGGGTGGGAACCTGGTGGAGGAGAGCAATGGAGGGGGGGAGAAAAAAAGGAACATTTGTAATAATATGAACAATAAAAATTTATAAAAAAAAATATTCACTGCTAGTATTACTGGAGAAACCATGTGCCTGAGTATAAGGCACATAAGGGAAATGAATGCAACACGATTATAGTAATCAGTCATTAGCGAATATTTTAGCTCATTATTAATAATTATATATAACAGGATATTGTAAAAATTAAGTTATGCAATTTTTAAAATGTTTCTTATCATTATATGACTGGGCCACAAATACTCCATGTGGGTTGCTTGTGGCCCACGGGCCTCGAGTTTGACATGCTTGGTGTAAAATTTGTTTAATAAAAGAATATAGGTGAAGTAATTAAGCACAAAACTAGCTAGATTTGGGAGGATACTGGTCAGATAATTAGGAGTTTGGCGTTTTTGTACATATTTTTATCGAGATTGTCAATGTATGTCCTTTTGAAGTTATTTAAGTGTAAATAGATTTATATGAGTAGGTGTTAATTAAATGGCTTAAAATTTTGTATTGCCCTGCTACTTCATATACTACATATATTCTGTAGATAGATTCAAAGAACAGATTGGTTGAAGGTTGCTAGATAGGAGAGGACTTGAGGGGATGAGTGGAAATGGTGAAAGAGATGAAATACAAACTGCCAGTTACAGAAATAGTTACTGGGATGTAAAGCACAGCATAGGGAATCTAGTCAGTAACATTGTAATAACTATGGTATCAGATGGGAACTAGACTATTCAGAGTGATCACTTTGTAAGTTATAGAAATTTCTGGTCACTATGTTGTACTAACATAATATTTATGTCAACTATAATTGAAAATAAATTAAAAAGACAAGAATAGTGTGTTTGGAAAGTCTGTGTGCCTAGAGTTGAGGATGTAATTAAGCACTGTCAAATCTCAAATTTTTTTTTTTGTTTTGAACCTTGTCAATACTTGATGATTCTAATTTTTCCCCAACTCCCTTTACTCTGTTCCTAGTTTGCCATTTTTTTTTTGCTCCTTTCCTTTTTAAAAAAATTGCTATATAACTACTTTTCTTTCTTGCATAATAATTTATGTGTACATTTTATTTCCTTTGCACGTAAGTTTTTTTAGGATAAGTAGCTTGCCATATTAGTGTCTTTTATATGCTCCAGGTGGGGTTGCCAGATAAAGTACAGGATGCCCAGTTAACTTTATAAACATTGAACATTTTTATTTGTACATGTTCCATTTGCTAAATTTGGCAACCCAAGTCCTGTGCATTGTACAGAGTGGGTGCTCGATAATTAATTATTTAGTGAATGAATTTAAGTTGGAGTCTGAAGTTACCCTATGATATTGGCAGAGTATTTTCATTCTTAGTTCTACAGATGAAAAAAATCCTGAAGTTCATGGGCTTTAAATGCTTTTCCCAAGTTCACATAGTTACTAAATTGTTCAGTCTTGGCCAAGAGGAGTGGTTTTACTTTTATAAAGCTAGTGCTTCTTTGATTAGGTTGCATGTATTCTGAAGGATAACATGTTTTACTCAGACTACCAAGTTTTTAAATTCTGTTTTATGGGAACCAGATTGAAAGTATTGAATAATAAGTACTCAGTTAAGGTCATTAAAAGGTTCTGACTTTAAGGAAAACAATACCTGATGAAACTATTTTAGTGATTGATATACTATTATAAACAAGTTATAAGAAAATTATGTTGCCCTAGCCCAGTGGTTGGCAAACTCACTAGTCAACAGAGCCAAATATCAACAGTACAATGATTGAAATTTCTGTTGTGAGCCAAGTTTTTTAAACTGAAACTTCTAATGCCACTTCTTCAAAATAGACTCGCTCAGGCTGTGGTATTTTGTGGAAGAGCCACACTCAAGAGCCAAAGAGCTGCATGTGGCTCGTGAGCCACAGTTTGCCGACCACTGTACTAGCCAGTTTGGCTCTGTGGATAGAGCTTTGGCCTGCGGGCTGAAGGGTCCCAGGTTCAATAAAGGTCAAGGGCATATGCCTGGGTTTCGGGCTCGATCTCTGGTAGAGGGCATGCAGGAGGCAGCCAATCAATGCTTCTCTGTCATCATTCATTGATGTTTCTATCTCTCCCTCTCCCTTCCTCTCTGAAATCAATAAATTTTTTTTTTTTTTTTAAAGAAAGAAAATTATGTTGACCCTGGCTGGTTTAGCTCAGGGGATAGAAGGGTCTCTGTTTCAGTTTCAGTTTCAATTCCGGTCAAGGGCATGTATCTTGGTTGCAGGCACCATCCCTGGCTCAAGAGTGTGAGAGAGGCAACCAATCAATGTGTCTCATATCAATATTTCTCTCTGTGTGTCTCCCCCCCTCCCTTTCACTCTCTCTAAAAATCATTGAAAAAATATCCTTGGATGAGGATTAATAAAAATAAATAAATAAATAAAAAAGATTTCAATATGTATTAACAAATGGCCTTAAAAAAAAAGAAAATGATGTCAAAGGAGACATTATTCAAGGGCCTGTCATACTTAATTATATCTTAAGG